AGCTGACATGCAGTTTTTTTCCTGCTTGTTTAGTCTTTAGTTATTATTATGTGATATTACAGCTGTGGATATCCTGGCCCAGTTTAACAAGCAAATAGGGATAAATAAGGTCATGTAAGCATTGTGTACTGCTGTGGTGCTGAAAATTCAGGTGTTGTTGAGCGAATGGTGTGGAATAGTTTGGTTGGACTGTAATCGCACCTTTGTATTCAAAGATGGTACAACGTGTATGGATTCATAGAAAATCTCCTGAACATCCCAACATTATGCTTTTGTTTGCTACCTAATATAAAATCCAATTCCAAATTGCCTTTGGAAATCTGATATCGGAGCCCTGATCGGAACCAAAAACCTTCCTAGTGGATCTAAAAAAAAAAATCCCTTGGATGTACAATTATTATTATTATTTTTTTTTTACAGTCTTTCGGTTGTCACAAAGGTCAGTATTCACATATGGGTGTCAACCGCTGCAGTTTCTCATGTTTAGTTTAGCCAAAAAGTAGTAAGAGAGCCCGCCTTGCTGTCAGTTTTTCCCAGTGGACGAACGACAACTGTGGTACTGTAAATTATAAACTACAATCAGGGTGGCTGTATCTCAGAGGTAGAGCAGGTCCTCCACTAATCTGATGATGGGTCGTTCATTCCCCTGGCTCCTCCAGTGCCCTTGGGCAAGATACTAAGTCCCAGATTGCTCCTGAAGGCTGTGCCACTGGTGTGCCTGAATGAACATTAGCATTAGATTCTGTTTCTCATGAGCAGTTGGACCGCAGCCTGTGCTATCTGTATATGAAGCGAGTGAAAGAAAGCACTAATGCACATGTGTAAAGTAAAAGAAAACCTTTTTGACAGATGGCCAAGTCAGCAACTTTACAACACAGTATCCATGGTTTTACAGTTCAAATGCAGGAAGTGGTGTGCCCTTTTATGTATTGAGGGCAGAAGGTAAGGGTGTGGAGGTCGGGCTGTGGATGGGGTCAGTCATCATTTCCTGAACACAACCATACCTTAGCTGCCTGCCACGACAGATGATAGATGAATTAAAAAAAATGTTTGCATTTGACGTAAAGAAAGGTGGTTATTCAACAGTATGCAGGCTTTTGCAGAATTGGCCAGTAGCAGCGTTCTTGTCTGGTTGATAGTTGCTTTAAAACAACTGATAGAATCCTTATCAACGATTGATTTGTTCAGTGAAGAATGATAAAGTGATAAAGACAAAGAAAGACCTATCAGTAATAATCATTTACTATCAAACTGTGCTGCGTGTATACATGCTCCACATATGTTTTTACAGTGCTGGATTCACACACATCTTCCTCCTTCCTCCACTGATAAAGAGCATGCATCGCTCCTGTGTGGCCTTCCTATGACCTTTGACTTTCGTGTGCATACAGCCTTCAGCTCTCAGATAAACAGGGACGAGGAGTAACTAGTGCAATGCATCTGCCAAGAGAATTAACACACACCAACAGCAGCCGTGGACATACACGCACATACGCACTAAAGGGCCTTTTCCTTCCTCCGCCGACTCTATATTTAGTGACATCTGCACCTGTGAGTCTGAGCACGCTCAGTAAGCAGCTGATGAATGGAGAGGAAGTGGTGTGTATGTGGATGTGTGTTGGGGTCAGTGGTTTATTAGTAACTGAAAATGCAGTGTTACTATAATTTCTTTTCATTAATGCTATTGAATGAAACAAGCAAACATCCTAGGAATTGTCAACCATATCCTGTACAAGATCCAAGTGCCCAAAGCAATGCCTTAAAATATATATTTGTGTCTATTTATTTGTATCATATATTAAGGCTTGGCCTGCCTACAGTAGTTTAACAGGTACGTTTCGACCAGTCACTGTTGCTTCTCAGATTGATGTGTTAGATTTTTCTTGATTTTGCGGAAAACAAACATAACTGTATTTCACAGAAGTGTTCAGGTTTTTGGGTATTATTCCGGTTTTAGGAGCATTCTATTGACATACAGCGCATTTGGAATATGTGTCTCATTGGGGGGGCTTTACTGCAGGTTGCGACAGCTCTCTACGCACAGAGACTTGGATATCAACAGGTTGTTTGATATGTGCAAAGAAGGTTGAACAAATGAAACAGGAGGTTGAACAGTGGTTGATGCAAAGAGGCAAAATGACCCAAGCAGCTCCAGCGATTCCTCTTTTACCACAGGACCAACATGACTGCAGTTTGACAAAGAGGGAAAGAGTGGGAAATGGACGGAAATTCCTCTGTAGGAAGTACATTATGTCATTAACAGTTAATTGGAGTATGCAGTGTTGCATGTAAACAGGACTATTAGGTGAATATTCATTTTCCATTGCCATGTAAACAGCAGAGTAGCAATATTGGTTTTTTTTGGAATAAGGGCATAAACTGAATATTTTGGGTATGGAAATGCAGTTATTGTAAACAAGACATTTGAAGACATCGCCCTGAAATTGGACTAAACAAATAAACAAAAACTCAAAATAACTAACAATGAAAACAGTTAAAATCCTACTTAATCTTGCAACCTAACGCTAACACAGATTAGGAACCACTGACCAATATTGTCATTGATTCATGTTCTGGCTTTTTCTCAGTTTTTTTTTTTCTTGAAAAACACTCAGATATTTGAAAATAAGTTGTTTGGTTTAAAACCATTTTCACTCCACAAGCTCCCACAAGGGTTTGAAGATGCAAAATAGCTCTGATCAGTGCAGTTCTTGAAAATGCAAAACGAGTGCTGGTTATGCCCAACAAGTAGTCAAAAAAACTACAGATGGAGTATTGTGCTGTATATCGTATTTTTTATGCAATTTTTTGTATGTAAAAATGTACATACAAAACAAAAATAATGACCACTAGCCAGTTATGTATGCTTCTGTATACTCTGCACTCCTTCAGTAATAATCACATTGTCATCACTTCCTTTTATTCAGCCTAATTTCAGTGTGTATTGATGCAGAAACACAACTACCTTCACCAATGCAGTTGTTGATACACCCACCACTTCTTCTCTCTGTATCTGACAGAAAGACAGCGTTATCCCTTTATTTGATTGACGCTGGTAACCAGAACAGCCCAAACGTCAGTGGTGTTGAAGTCATTTCTCTTGTTTTTAATATGTAAAATCCTGGCAACAGAAACTCTGCCAGATTCATGGTAATATTCTGCCACCCTCATCTGTCCATCTGCCACAACGACTTCCTTCCTTCCGCTCCTTCTGGACGAACATGCAGATGGATGAGAATAATTATCCTGTTAAACCTCAAAATGCTCTCAGTGTACTGTCCCGCTTCATAATGAAGGTCCATTAAGACCAAAAAAAGGTGCCGTTCCTGGAACAAGCAAACACTGGAAATGAAAAGAGAGTGTGTTAACAAACAACGCCCTCCTCCCCCCCCCTTGCACTTTCACATTGGAACGAGCCAACAAACTTTCTCTGTCCTCCCCCTCATCCATCTCTCTCTCTGCTTTCCATCTCCTATTGTATACATTACTGAACCCACGCCTGTTCGCCTTCACTGCACCAAGTCTTCACTTAGTTCTGGTGTGTGTGTGTGTGTGTGTGTGTGTGTGTGTGTGTGTGTGTGTGTGTGTGTGTGTGTGTGTGTGTGTGTGTGTGTGTGTGTGTGTGTGTGTGTGTGTGTGTGTGTGTGTGTGTGTGTGTGTGTGTGTGTGTTTCACTGTTAATGTGTGTGTGTGTGTGTGTGTGCAAAGGGGGATTATGGACACTGTGGGTGGTGCAAGCTGCTGGTAGAAACTCTGTGAGCCCCCAGCCCATGCCCACTTGCTTTCATGGGACGAGCTCAAATGCACATAGGCTTTCTCTCTCTCTCTCTCTCTCTCTCTCACCCTCACTCACTCACTCACTCACTCACTCACTCATTCACACACACACACACACACACACACTTATTATTCTGTACATACAAACACACGTGAGACACTCAATAGATTGCAGAGCACTCCAAGAGCTTCTCTCTGGCCTAAACACATAAACGACGTGTGTGTGCGTGTGTGCGTGCGTGCGTGCGTGCGTGCGTGCGTGCGTGCGTGCGTGCGTGCGTGCGTGCGTGCGTGCGTGCGAGGTGTATATGGGACGTGTGGGTGTGTGACAGGATATGTGTCAACCTCTAGTTCGCTGTAAGTCACTCTTTTCTCTAACTTTCTTCTACATGTTACCACATCATTACCGCTGTGTTGCAAGTGATACTGTGAGATTATGGCCAGACAGGATGTTACGTTCACACAGTCTCCCACAGGTTGGAAACACGTTTGTGGTGGTGGTGAGTGGGTGGGTGGCTTAAGAATATTTTTTTTCCAACAACAGTTTACAGCACATTATGGAAAATCAGTGCAGAATTACATCAAATAATCATGTTGATATTGATGAGGCTGACGTCAGAGTGGCTTTCTTTATTGTCTGTGAATGAACTCTTGATTAAAAACAAAGCAATTTTATGCAATTCTGTCGAACGATTGATTGGCTGATTGACAAAATAACTGGCAGTTTAATCGACAGTGAAAGTGCTTGCAGTCCAAGCTGGTTGCAGTGTGTGGTAATGGTGGCTCAGTGGTAGTGTTGGTTTGATGGTCTTTTACTGTAAAACATGTTATGACTTGATTTCCTTTCAGTTGTACATTGTAAGAAGTGGTGATTTCAGCCCGTCTGTCCTTTCCAGCCTCTTTTCCCCCCAAACAATGTAGTTCTTTCATTGGTCTAAAAACATTTGCCATCAGAAAAACATGATGCATTTTCTGCTTGATGGAAGTTCTGAGTATCTCACACTTAGATAGAAAACCTACTGTAAGCCTGCTGTGGTTGTTGAGTACCAGCAGAAGGATCATTTATCTTGGTTAAAATTACATGGTGTTAGTACTTCCTGTACATTGTGCTCATATTTTGTACTCAACTCTCTCTTCTTGTCTCTTTTTTCTTCCACTTTCTCCTTCCCCTTGTCCCTTTTTACCCTCCCTCTGTCCTCCCTTGTCCTCTGCTATGTCTGCAGATTGACCTGGAGCCAGAGGGGAAGGTGTATGTTGTTATTGACCTATCAGGATCTTCCAGTGAAGGTAAGAATTCAATGTGATATCTGTGATGCTTTTTTTGTTGTTCTTTGTTTCTGTTAATAACACAGAAGAGCTGTTGTGTAATCGTTCCAGTACAGTCTAAAGCGATAATCTCTGCCTTTTCTATGCGTCCATGGCTGTCATGTTATTTGTCTGGATTATCCGCTGAGCACTATTAAGTGGCAGCAGGAATATATCCTTGTGATTGTGGCTGTCACAGCTAATTTTACGAGTTCCTCTTATTTTTACTGAAAACTTCCATTTCAATGAGCAGTGCGTGACTCGCTGAGGACCCGCAGCTTGCACGCCTGTGGTGTCCACACAGAGAGCATTGTTGCTACAGCGCTGCTGCTGCCAGCCCAATCTTTCTACATTGAGTCTGCTTTTAATAAATATAATACAATAAATACAGGCTGATGAGTAAGCTGATGAATCTTTGAAGACTGGGCAGAGATGGGGTGCTGAATGGGTACGCATACCAGCAGTGTGAAAGTACCGAAGGCAGAGAGAGAGAGAATTGTATTTAAAAAGAGAGCAGCAAGTCGAGGCTAGTGCTGCAGGTGCGTCGTTGTGCTATTGGACAGATGTGACCAGCTGTTCAACAGAACCAGAACCAGAACAGCTGGTGTCACGATTGACAGCCCCATTTTATTACTTCAGAGTGAGCCGTTTACTTGTTCCTAACAAACCCTGGGAGCACAAATTGTAGTGAAGGTAGTATCTGTGTTAAGTATTCCGGTTTTCCCTCCAGGGAGTAAATGGTGTAACTACACTTAAAAAGGCATGTCAACGTACTATCAAATGAAGAGCCCTCTCATGACTGTATATAAGTGGACCTTTTAACGTGTCTGAACAGGCTTAAAGAGAGGCCTGTACATATGATTGCAGTTAGACCTGCTCTACAAAATGTTAATGTCATGTTTACAGCCTTTCTGCAGTGTAAATGATGGGCGAGACTATGACAGTAAGAGCTGTTTCCGGTTGAAGGAAAATGAGCTAAAGAGAATTATAAACCAGTTCTAATGAGTTTAATGGGTTTTTTCTTTTGTGGGTTTTCAGTCAAATTACTTGGAAGGAAATTATGTATCTTGGCTAATCAACCACATTCATATTGATCTACATTACAGCCATGCTAATGTTGCTTTAAATCATTTATACATTATGGTAATTTGTTATTGTTGTGCTTTTAGTGGGAATTTTTACGAGAAGGAAATATGTAATAATAACAATAGATCAGTGCCTCTCAAGTAACCCACAATTTGGGTATTTCCTGCTTTCTCTGTAACACATAAAATACATGACAATACATACATTTACTAGGGTTGACCACAAAAAGTCAATAATTTGAATCATCAGTCAAGAAGAACCTGCGTGGTCCTGCATGTGCTTGTTTGTTGATTCTCTGCACCTTTGTTTTTTAGCTGCGTCATTGACAGAACAACAGCTTGGCAGGCTGTAAACTTTACAAACCAAGTCTTACAATGACCACAAACCATAGAACTAACTGTGACAGAACCAGAGAAGAGTGATAGTTGATATGTTATATTGTCAGTGAAGTCGGCTAAAACACTTTGGAACCAAGCAGTGGTACAACGTCCTCTGCCGTCCACTGTGCTGTCAGCAGCCCGGCAGGAGAGACGAACTGTGGTGCACTGGGACGTACACTTTCTCTGAAATTGGATGGTGAAGAAAGGTATTAAAACCTGAGGTAGCCTAAAACACGAGACTCATGTAGCCCATGTGTTTCCACTGCATAAACTGCTGATAAAGGAGTTTAGTGTGGCACTGACCTTAAAAAAAAATGCACTAATCTTGGTATTGAACAGCCAAATCCAAGTCTGGTTCAGCCAATGAATTTACACATAAACTCCTACATATATTTTCTGAATACAGTAATTACATTCACCCACATACTGTATACAATATATCAGGTACATGAGACAGCTGTTCTCTCTCTGATGGCTGATGTCTCTTTGATGTGCTGTGTGTCCTGTGGATGTGTGTGTTGTCTAAAAAGCTTGTGGTTACTCAGTAAAAGCTTTGTAAAAGTAAGTAATTCCTTATGTGTTGAGTAACACTTCCCTGCTGCCTCTTCCTCTTTCTCAATCTTTACATCTGTTTCAAGTCAGTTACTCTCAAATTCATTTTACAAACAGTGTGTTGCTCATACTCTCTGATATACTGAATTAAAGTAGTGCTGTATTGATCTTTTAAGAATAACCTTTGCTTTCTAGTTGTGAAGTAGGACTTCTTAACCTGTGTGTGTCACACTGTAAGTCTTGAGTCAGTCTGTCACCATGTGCAGTCAACAGCATTACATCAGGAAATAGAATGGCACAGTTTTTCTGTGTGTTTGTGTGTATTACTCCTAGACTGTAATGAGAGACATGATGTCATGCAGCAAGTGCCACCAGTTATAGTTTAATGGTGACACAGAGTTCAGTGTTGGACTCTTTTAGATCACCGCATTATTTATAACGCAAGACGTGTTACGGTGAGAGAGTGGCTCAAGCTATAATCTTGTCCTGGAAGTTGCTTTATGTTCTCTGTAAATCCAAAATGTTACATTTAAAAAGGATGTGGAGGTTAATCTGTAGTGACGCACTGCTTGGTTAAGCTCAGAGAAAAACAGCCTTAATGGTTACAAGAAACCAACCACTGATGCTTAGAGATGTGACACAAACTGCAGTTTGCATTGCATGGATGATTGCACTGATGATGATGTTGCCAGGAAACATTATCATAAGATATGTTTTTTTATAATTCAAATTCAAATAAACAATGTAATAACAGAACTTGTAGAGTTATACACTGTTTAAATAGTTTTGCACACCATACTCCTTTATGCATACTGCATATAGTGTATATGTTTTCATTATAGTTTTTATATTCTCTTATATCTTTATTATCTTTTTATTTTTATTGTATTATTCTTTGATTGTATTTTTACACTTCTCTACTGTTCTATTACACTACATTCCCCTTTGCTGCTGTTTCAAACTTGAATTTCTCCTACAGGGGATCAATAAAGGAACATCTTATCTTATACATGTCATCCCTGCACCACCTATCTATGTCTGCTGTATGCTACATATTAAAAAGTTTAAACTGTTAGCAGTATCGTTTATGTCTTACTTCATGGCAGTGTGAAAGGTGAGAGGGGAGACGCAGACACACAAAATAGCTGTGTCACTGTGTGTGTAATACTTGGTCAGGGTGTCTGTGGGGATTTTAAAAAGTCTACAGGTTTTCATTTTTTGGGGGGGGATCAATTAAGTTACTTATAAAGTTGCCTTTTTAAGTCTTGCTTTTAAATGTGTTTTGGGGAAAAATTGTATTGACCATGATGTAACAACTATAAAACAAAACCAACATTAAAAAAAAAAAATACTAACCTTCCTTCATATCCTTGATAATGGTCTTAAAAAATCTTAAATTGAACCTGTTGATACCTGCAGAAACCCTGTTGGTGTGAGTCAGGTTTGTAGAGGTTGGGTAAGGGTGGAAATGTGAAGGAAAGCATGAACACACAAACACTCACAGAGAGGGCCCAGAGGGATCACCTGTCAGGCATTTCCAAGGAACATGGAGAGAGAGGGGGGGGGGGGTAGTGAAATGCTCCAGGTCCTTCACAAGAAAACTGTCGGTGTCTCACCAACTAACCAAGGTTCAGGTTGTGTCAATACCATACAAACCTTTATGCCTCTGTCAAAAGAATCAAATACTGTGCACAGCTTTTATCCTTTATGTAGTCATGTAAAGACCAATGACGATTCTTCTCCATCTACATATACAGGCTCTGTACATACGTTTTGAATCTACTGCTGAAGGCACTGATAAATGGTTAATGCATCGTTTAAATGCCCTTTTTTTCTTTTCTAACCAAAAATATATATACAAAATCCCACATTGTTTATGACAAATAACCGTTAATGGCAGCCTAAATCGGTTGAAAATAAAGGTAGCTTCTGTTTTAAACATAATTTGGTTGGCAGATACAATAAGATAAGCAGAATCTGAATCCGCATTCATAAAATCTAAATGATTTCTGGTAAAAGTGATATCTGGGAACAGAAGCTCTACATTTGTGACTTGTAATCGATAAGAGATCCTTAAATTAACAAATTCAATCTTGGTAATTTGGCACTCGATTGATCAGGAACATGCAGAATACATTACCACATGTTTTTACTTGTGTGTGTGTGTGTGTGTGTGTGTGTGTGTGTGTGTGTGTGTGCGTGCACCAGGTTGCGTATTAGAGAGACATGACAGAATGGAGGAAGAGAAAGACAGAGAGGGAGTTAACCAGAGGTCAAAGGGGGGGAGAGAGAGATAAATTGATTAGTAAAGTGGAGTGTTCTCTAATGGACCAGTTACATCATCGAAAAAGAGAGAGAGGGTGAGAGAGAGATAGTTCAGTGACAAAGAGGTGTCATTAGGACAAGGACTTTTCTTGTATAAATGTATTCTTTATTCTTTCATTATATTTCTGTTGCTCTTTCTATCTGCAGTGACATACAATATATTTATATACGTGTGTGTGTGTGTGTGTGTGTGTGTGTGCGCGCGAGCAAGCGACTGAAATTGCAGTCATTACTTAAATGTGTTTGCATAGCAGAGAACACATGGTTGAACTGTCAGACCTGAGAGCTGCAATCAACCTATTAGCTTTCACACACACACACACACACACACACACACACACACACACACACACACACACACACACACACACACACACACACACGCCCCGCTGTCACTAGGACAAGATGATAAGCCGCTGCCTGTTGCTAAAAGCAGGTGAAATATTTATCTGTTTTTCTGGCTCTGTTGTTATCAGCTAGGATAGGAGAGTGTTATAATGAAGCTTTCTAAGAAAAATCTTTTATATAGAACACTTATTCCTGGTTAAATTCAAGGACTCAAGGATAATTACAAGGACTAAGCTAAGTGCATAGAAGATGGACATAACTTTAAAATATAGAGCAACACCAGCAGTGTGGTAAAGAGGTAGAGAAGCTCCATAATAATAAAAGCATTAAGAATGAATGAACATGCAGGTGAAATGCATTTGCTTTCTGTTACAACAGAAACACACTGTTTGCATTCATTGTCAACACACCTTAAACCTCAATCATTTTTTAATGTCAAATTTACATGGGGAGTACTACTCATCCATTCTTTTTATTAAAATCTGTTGGATGGCTTGGCATTACATTTGATACAGCGATTCGTGGTCCCTTCAGGATCAATTGTGATGACTTTGGTGATCCCTTAACTTATCATCCAGCGCCATCAGGTCAAAATCAGATATTGTCCAATACTACAAAACTAATGACATTGTGATTTTTATTTAGTGCTAGTTTACAAATGGTAACACACTTACTCACTAAGCTGAAAGCACTGCTGCACCTACATTGATTGGTCAGGCATAGTTGCTGGTTTAGGTGTTGAGGAAGATAGCGTATACTTGATGTTTTGACAGGCTCCTTCAGGTTATCCTCAGTGTTGTCATGTTGAAATGTTGGACCAGTCACAGATTAGTGTAAGTTCCTGAATGGTTAGAACTGAAAATCAGCAGTAAGCTTCTGGGAAACGTAACTTCATGAATGTCATTTATTCATTCTTTTAACAACAGGCATCTGCATTTTTCCACTGTTAGACAAGCGTTTTCTTAGATTTCAATTCAGCATTGTGCAAGTATCTGGTTTGGTGGCAGACAAGTTAAAGTGCTTGGAGTAGTGGGCAAAGGGATCTACCAGGTGAGCTACTTCAGGATTCAGTTGGACAAGGCAACGCTTGTTTTAGATTTAAACGAAAACTTATGCCACGTGCCTTATTCATTTTAGAAAGCAACAATCCAGCACGTGTTAACTATAATCTCTGTACCAATGAGTACCGGTATCAGTTGACTCTCCCATTGCTATCCACCATCTGTCTGTCCAACACTCTGGACTCTTCTATGAAGTCCGCCATGTTGAACTGCCGTGTTTCTACAGTAGCCCAGAATGAACAAACCAAACACTGGCTCTAGTTTGGGCTCGCAATTTCACCTCTAGATGCCTAAACCCAAAACACTGTTTACACTCCTGTAAGACTTTAAGTATAGTTGGTGCTCATACAGTAGGTGCACTGCCCATGGCTCATTGTAGTCCCTGTCACTGTTACAACATCGAGCTACTTAAATCTTTACTTTAACTTTCTGGGTTGTGATAAGGACATCACAGAGGACCAGCATACCTATCACAGACCCCAACCCTGAACCCTTCCCAGTGGACGACGCTAAGTCTAACACCGTTGCTAGGCAGCAGCCGTCAGTTGCTAGGCGATGGTGATGGCGTATGGCAAAGGGGCTGAAAGAGTAAGAGTGAAGACTGGCAGAACATGACGGGGAGAAAGGAATGTACAATGAGTCCTTGAGGCTTATCAGAAGAGAAGCTATAAATGTAAAGTTTGTCCTGAGGCTGGCGCTAGAGGAAAGGTTGTAAAGTGTTTAAAATAAGAAGAGTTCATCCTTCGGGGATCATTAATATGTTAAGTAAGGTTAATGTTAGTCTGTCAATTTGATTATTATGTTTCTTGTGTAAAAAGTTGTTGTTTCGAACTGACAGAAGTGTTCAAGGAAAGGCCAGATTCATCCTTCAGAGAACCTATCCACAGCAAATCAATCCAGCTAGTGCTTTTTGAAGTTGCTCTAGACAGATTGATAGATGTAGAAACTACTTGACAATCTAACTGACAGACATTCTTATGCACCCTAGCTGCCTGTGGGGTAAAAACATAAAATTTAATAAATATTGTATGATAAAACCTATGACTACTCATGGATTAACTAAGGATGTGGCAGGTAATTCACCCGTTGGCACTGAAACATTTCTACTTTCTTACATGATCTGAGGTAGTGAAGACGGAATGAAGAGAGGAGACAGATGGTGTTGGATGATGTTCTCATACCACAGCTACTGAGGAAAAAGGATTTTGTGAAGCTCAGTTGCACAGTGGGTTGATGATGGCAAACATGGCTAGCAGAGTTATAGGCCTGATGCCCACTCAGGGTCGGTCATATCCAAAATGAAAATCACTTATGTCACCAGACTGGATTTGGAAATTGTTAATTTTTTTGTGGGTAATGCTGAGGGAAGAGTTAGATTGCTCCGTAAAATGCACTTAATATCTGGTGAATCTCATTATCCATATTAAATGTAGTGCTGGGAGCTATTTTAATGCACATTTATTGTCCCAACAATATACTTTATCGAGATATTACTGATGTTTAAAGTTTGCATCTATAAAAGACATTGAATCTGCACAAAACCTGCCACAGCATAAGATTATAAATACTTATAATGGCATTATTTTATATTAAAGCACACACAAAAAAAGAACTCACTGTAAAAAAAAATGGTAGGTGAGAAAATGTTGTTTTGTAATTTGGATTAACTGATTCTTCAACTTTTTATTATCTTTGAATAACATTTCTTCAATGTGTATGTGCTCTTATTTTTGAAAACTCTTAACAAGTTGTGAATCTGATGATTCTCTACCTACCTACCTCGTTATTCTTCCCAATTAACATTACTGCACACACACACATTTCTTTTTGTTTGTGTGTGTGTGTGTGTGTGTGTGTGTGTGTGTGTGTGATTAAAACAGGGTTTGACAGTGATTTAATTCTCTGCTGTTCCAATGGGACAAACCCTGTGTAATTAAACAAAACAAGACATAAAGAGCAGTGAAGACAGGGACAGACGCTGTGACTGACAGTGAGAAAAAGATAAGGTGTACAACCTCATCCTCAATCACACAATGTCAGCCCCATCTAGTGGCTACATGGTGTGAGTGCAGATTTTGAAGAACACAGACACCAAATCTTGCATGTGTTGCTCATTTATCTCACTGATGATTCTTCAACTCCCCGTACGTAAAAAGACAGCGGGAAGCCTGCAGTATCGTGCATTTAAAGATTAAATAAATATGCATGAGCTTATCAAGGACTGTTTCAAAGAAGCCACACACTAACAACATCACATTACAGTACATACATTTGCTACTGCCCTCTTACTTTTCTGTTACTCCGTATACAAATGTGTATAACATCACTTTTTTTTGTATTTTGCTTGTGTGTACGTGCAGCTGCGCCGTGCTCCACCGAGAATGAGGAGCGTGTGTTTCGGCAGCGGATGCGTCCTAGGAAGCGCCAGGGTGCCGTCCGTCGGAGGGTCCACCAGGTCAATGGACACAAGTTCATGGCCACCTACCTGAGACAGCCCACCTACTGCTCCCACTGTAGGGACTTCATCTGGTGAGGACACACACCCTTACCATAATGAATATGTGTGCACACACTCAAAAACACATATAAAAACACAGTGAAATTCCCTTTTTTATTACTTTAAAATCAGATTTTCCACTTTCAGCAGATGTATGTGAAAATATCCTTCTTGTGTCAAACTGCACATACCTCATTCTGCATAGAGAAGTTCAAACATCCAACTGTAGGAACAATAATTCTCATTTATTTGCCATACAGATGCTTAACAAAATATTTAAAAGGGTCCTGACAATGGTCCATGTCCATGATGAAGACTTCAGACAGAGAGTATTGCGGCAGTGAAGTCCAACTAAAGCCGAGTCTAAATAATTTTTGTTTGTAACCAGCAAACAGCAAACAGTAAACATGCACTCAGTAAGGAAAAACTGATTTCCTACTGCCTGTTCTATGACTGCAGCCCAAAAGCCCTGAATAACAAAAAGAAAGGAAGAAACACTCAAACATGCTTAAAAAGTGCTACGGTTGGTTTAAAATGCCTGTAAACACATGTGTTACAGTAACGGATTTTGCAGTGTAACATAAACATGTTCTGATTTCCTGCCTTAACCTGATTCCTCCCACTAACCTGCTGTCTTGTTTACATGTAAACACAGTGGATGCTGTGAAGTGTGGAGTAATAAACAAAGCCAGCTGTGTTTGTTTCCATCCCAACAAACTGTGTTTAGCGGCACTCACATGGAAACCATGTGGCCTTGGTGCTCTGCTTGCTTTCAGCCCGGCTCGGAGAGAACGTTTGATGTGTAATCAGAATCACAAGGAAATCGTGTTTGAAAGAGTCCTCCAGTGCTCAGGGTTTCTGAGGTGAATCAGCAAAAATACTGCACCATGCAGAAGAACAAAGTTGTAATGGGGGCCAGCTAGTATTTACTGCAGTAACCACTGCAAAATGTACCATTTCAGAGGAAAAATGCCTAAAACATTCTTGGCAGTATAGCAGTACAATAGTTGTACTTAAAATGTAGCTAACAATGCTGAAGAACATCCAATCAGAGGCACAAAGGATTGATCATCAGGCTGGGGATTGGACAAGAATTTATAACTTATAACCACCTGTATATCTCTTCTAATAACAACATCCTCCTGTTCTCAGTAGTCCACAAGAGAGGCGCTGAAAGGCTTTATACATACAGTATGTATTGATTATATATTAACAACACGTATTCTGTCTCTCTCTGACCTTCAGGGGCGTCTTAGGAAAGCAGGGCTACCAGTGTCAAGGTAGGCTGGTGTTTTATTAGAACCATGTCTTTACATTCCTGTAGTCCAGCATGTCTTAATCTTAATTTATGGTTGTAAGATTATCAACTTGAGGCACTTATTGCCTTGTATATGTGTTTCTTATGCCCGTGTGTGTGTTCCTCCTGCAGTGTGCACCTGTGTTGTCCACAAGCGCTGTCATGAGCTGATCATTACCAAGTGTGCAGGGATGAAGAAGCAGGAGGACACAGTTGGAGAGGTACTGATCTCCAGCTACAGGCTGGTCCTATAAGACACAGCACAGTGTGTAGGATCTACTGGCATCTAGTGGGGAAGTTGCAGATTGGTTGTTAAAAAAGGTTAAAGGGACATGGATGAGCCGTCCAGGTGGTCGGTGTTCCCTGTATATATTTAGCAAAGGACCTTCTCATTCCAATTCTTGCCCCTCATTTCTCATTTCATGTCCTTTGTCATCTATCAACTATCAATAATGTTAAATTACTAAAATAAGGAACTTTGACAGTAGTGGTAGAGAGCAACATTCACATTGCCTCATGTTTCAGACCTCCAGACACTCGCAGGTTTGTCTCACTGTCGTTTTGTGCCTCCTACAGCCAGTCGGTTCTCAGAGGTTCAGTGTCAATGTGCCGCACAAGTTCAGCATCCACAACTTCAAAGTTCTCACCTTCTGCGACCACTGTGGGTCCCTGCTCTGGGGTCTGCTACGACAGGGACTCCAGTGTAAAGGTACGGACGGACACACTGTGTTAGCTTGACTCTGCTCAGGTCTTTATCATACCTGTGGACCTGTGGCCTGGACAAAATAAAAAGGCTAAATCTCTGTTTTCCTGTGTGTGTATGTCTCAGTGTGTAAAGTGAATGTACACAGACGCTGTGAAAGTAACGTAGCTCCTAACTGTGGCGTGGACGCCAGAGGAATCGCTAAAGTCCTCTCTGACCTCGGAGTCACACCAGACAAGATCTTTAACAGCGCCCAGAGACGGAAAAAGGTGGGAGTCATCCACAAGATTCAGAACAAGTCAACTGGCTATTGCTTAGAGGCATTTGATTATAGCATTTATAATTGAAAGCATTTCAAGGTCCAGTGTGTAGGATGTAGTGGCATGCTATAAATATTACATTTCTGCCAATAGATTCTCCTAAATGTTACACACAGGAACCTTTAAACAGACTTTTGCCAATTCTACTTTACAAACTCTAGTGATAAAGATGTTGAGACAGGTGTTTTGTCTTTAAACAGCTTCCACAGGGTCAGGACCCCCAGCCGCCGTTATCAGGGACGCCTAAGGCAGAAGACGATCGCTCAAAGTCCGCCCCCACCTCACCATGTGACCAAGGTAGCAGAAGTTCTCACCATCTCACATAAACTCTAACCTGCATGAAACCGAACCACATGAGCAAACACGCCAGAACTCATCCTATTTTAACTTCTGTCCAGATGCGAAGGAGCTGGAGAACATCCGGAAGGTTCTGTCGTTTGACCACCGCGGGGAGGAGCACAAAACACAACCCCTCTCCTCCGCCTCGTCTGTTTCTACGGTAACGGGAGACAGTCAGGAAGGTGTTGAAGGAGGAGGAGGTGATGATGGGGGCAGCGTCGGAGTGGAGGTTAAAGGAAACCGGGAGAACGGGGAGGTCAAAGGTCACGTCGCTCCTGAAATAAAGAGGATGAACCTGCAAGACTTTTTGTTCATCAAAGTTCTGGGGAAAGGAAGCTTCGGAAAGGTGAGCGTGCAACTGCTTTTATTTTTGTATAAATCTCATCCCTCTTTCATTCCTCTTCTCCTTCACTCTGCTACCTGGCACTATGTGAGTAAACAGGAATAAATAGGCCCAATGAGAGACGGAGAGGGAGAAAAGAAAGACATGGGAGCAAGGAGAGCGTTGTGGAAGATATTATATAGATATTTAGCGCCATATTTGTGGTTCTGACTGCGTTTCCGACTGTTGCCTGTCATGTGACCAGGTGATGCTGGCGGAGCTGAAAGGCACCGATGAGGTTTACGCAGTCAAAGTGCTGAAGAAAGACGTGATCCTGCAGGATGACGATGTGGACTGCACTCTGACTGAGAAACGGATCCTGGCCCTGGCCAGAAAACACCCCTACCTGACACAGCTCTTCTGCTGCTTCCAGACTAAAGTAGGAACAGACACACAGACACACAGACACACACACACACACACACACGTACACTTACATTTATATGCAGACATATTGTACACCTCTAGGGGGAAGCATTGGACAACATTCGAGTCCGTAGCCTTCAGTTGTTGTACTGACAGGTCTCACATATTTCAAAAAATCCAGAGAGAAAGAGGAGAAAGTGAAGCACTTTTGAAAAGCATACTCTTAAAACTATCTGACTTTAATTTGACCTTTTAATTTAAAACTTATACCTGGGATTGAGTCTCATGAGAAATCTGAAGGGTCACCCTGATTAAACGGATACATTTTTTTTTTTAAATACCTTACAGTCTAACCTCCTCACGCCTCTAAATGTCTTCAAATGAAATAATATGTGAAGGAAAAATCCCTTAGAGGTTGACCTGGTCACACCTGATGTTCACTCTAAAGCCATATGCTGTAGACTAGTAGACATTTCTTCAATTCAAAGGGTCTAAAGCCAAAAAGCCTGGGAACTACTGGTCTAAAATGCAATTAAAAAAAATAACAACATTCAATTTAATAAATAAATAAGTGCTTTTTGAACTGATACATTAAGCCTGAAGTCTCATCATTAAGCACATAATGCACATGCGTTCAAACTTAAAGTAAAATTACAGCAGAACTGGAAGATATCAGGTCACTTTGGCACATTATAGGTCAAATATCCCATTAGTTGTGGCATGCAAAGGGTTAAACACATTCTTTACATTTATAAACTAGTAAAATAAGAGAACTACAGTATAATAACTGTAAGAGAACTATAATAAGAGAACTGCTCTGGATTCAGATCTCAGAGCAAATCTCAACTTCTCATTATGTTCTCGGACAAACTGTCCTCAGTTCAGCATCCCTGTTTCATACCTGCAGATAGAATAACATGCTGTGAATTGTGCTGACAGGTATCAGTGAAGCACATATCTGTTGAGGCTGTAAATCCACCTCCGTCCACAGAGGCCTTTTCCAGAAAACATCCAAACAACTTAATTAGTCATTAGTGTCTGCCATCAGCTCTGAGAAAGAGCTGCATTTCCCTTCCCTTCAGTCTCCCTGCCCTCTCTTTCACACTCTGCTCTCCTCTCATCATCTCTGCTTCTCAGCTAATTTGTCCATCCATACAGTAAGTGGATGATGACAGACCAACACACAAAGGGCACCCGTGGGTGGGACGCTGAACGGCAACAGCTCCTCCAGACTACTGTATGTTTTGTCTATCGTATGTTGCATAAGTGTTCCTGTCTGGAAATGTATAAAGGTTGTGTACATGTGCTTGTGTGTGTGTGTGTGTGTGGGTACACTTTGTGTGTGTTTGTGCGACTCCCAGGTGTGTACTTTTTCCAGTTTGACGACTTGCTGAGGGAACAGGTCACATGTTGTGTTTATGTGGCGCTTTCACTGCAACTTGAGCCTGACGGTGCTGAGCAGGCTGCACAGGTGTTAACTTCTATCAGAGAGAGCTCAACAAAACACGAGCTGCACAAGCCTGAACATATAGTGTAACTCAAGACGTATTGATAATGACCTAACTTTTCACTTTTGTCAAGAATAAAGGATGTAACACTGATGTTTAGAATTCAGATAATGAATTAAGAGAACCTGGTAGAAAAGAACTCCAGGTCTTATTTGTTAAATGACACTTGAGCTTTTAAATTCACTGATAGGTGTCACAGGTTCCAACTGTATGCAAGTCAGACATCATTCATAATAATAAAAGAAAGAACATGATAAGTAAATATATCCAACAAATAAACAATGTAAGGTAAGGCACAATGCAGATTGTTCTAAAAGATTCTGTATTAAAAAAACAGCTGAGCATATTGTAATCCTAGCACTTTCATTATATCATACCCTGTTTTTGAGGCTGTTTAACAGAGGTGTGGTCAAAACTCTTGCAAGTCGACTTTCACACCCCCGACTTGCTCTAACTTGAGCCTTTTAGACTTGAAAATTCTCAGAGGTGGCAAAAGTACACCCATCCTTTACTCAATTAGACGTACAGAAGACTAGAAGGTAAATGTAGAAGTACTTATTCTGCTTCTTTACTCAAGAATGAGTGAAAAAGTGCAGGCTATGAAATGTACTCAGAGTATAAAAGTAAAGAGTAATTTCTTCGTAGACATTTCGACCGGCTGTTTGCGTGCAAAGCTACTTCAAATAGGGCCGGGTCTCACTCTCTTGTCTGCTTCTTCTTGTCATATTGTAGGGCTGCACAATTAATCAAAATATTATCGAAATCGCCAAATGCAATAGCCAAATTGCAGAAGCTAAAAGGTAAAATCTTTGACAAAACACTGTTCTAATAAAGCACTGCAGTTCTGAAGAAAGCCCTGCTCAATAGATCTTGTTCTTCAGATTTAAGAAAACATGTTTGTTTGGTACAGCCCCCCCCAAAAAAAAAAAAATTTTTTTTTTCAGTGAAAATGAAAATTGTGATGCATTTCCTCTAATCGTGACTCATATCTGTCAGAATAAGTGAAATATTATGTTTTTACCATTGTGCAGCCCTATTATGATTATGACACCTGTGCAGATCACAACTCACTCGCTTCACCAAACGCAAGGAAGAAACTGAGAAAAGAGTTTACTTTCTTGAACTTTGAAAAGCAATTGGAGAGTTGTGTCATGTTGGACAGCAGTGGAACATTTTGACAAGACCTGAGAAATCGGCGAAAATATGCACCACCATTTATAGGTTGTTTTTTTTTTCAAGAAAAGTAAGTGTTGACCGACATATACTGTATCAGACCAGAGTCCAGAGATTGCTGTTTTGGCTGTTTCCTGCACTGGATCAGAAGGAGTCAAATATGTCAGGGAGGAGGAGTTGAGCGCAGGACGCTTTGTGGGCTGCATCTTTTGTTTATTTTCTCAGAATGTTCTGGAGAGTCTAATGACGGCGTCTCCTGTTCATTTTATTTATTCCTGTTATTTTCCTCCAAAGCAAACACAAACATGTGCTGGCTGCATGGATGAGAGAGAGACAGAATTAGAGACTGTGTTCTCAGATGACATCTCTATTCTTTTTTTCTTCTTTTTTTCATTGTTTCTTCTTTTTTCTTTCTTTTTGGCAGATGCATAAATGGACACACGTGCACGTGTGCGCGCACATACACATCCACATCCACACACACACACACACACACACACACACACACACACACACACACACACACACATGTCTCTGGCAGTCAGGTGTGATTGGGAGTGTGTTCTTGGACCAAACAAAGGGATTTTTTTTTTGTGGCTCTTACATAACTCCTTTGATCCTTATCAAGGACATTATGTGTATTCCATATGCTGTAGGACCCCACCCTCATCACCCGCCTCACACTCCTTCCCCTCACCTCCCCACCCCGGCCTTCTTGGAACACACTCAAAATTGTCTGGACTTGATTTGATTACAATAAACAAACCCACATATACATACTGTATACGGAATGTAATGACACACACACGTACACACTGAGCTTCACAGTGCCGTTCACCTCTTGTGTAACATTGGTTCCACTCAGCCTGTCGCCAGGCTGATCCACATCGACTCAATGTGCTAATGAATTAGTTCATTTGACCGTGATGGTACAGTGTGAGAGTGAATTCAGCTGCGGTAGGTAGTGCAAGAGGTCGACTGTGAGGTTGGATACAAACCTGTTTCTATTATTTAAGTTATATAACATTTAACATTTAATGTACTATACTCTAAACATATCCTCAACAGCTTTAAGCTAACAACACTGACTATTGAAAAGCCCTAGGCATCTCTTCAAATTGAACTTTACAGAATCTATAGCCCCTATCTATGATTGGTCGGATGAATGCAATCAAAATGATGAGCCTACCCAGGTTTCTATACCTTTTCCAGAACTTGCCCATATACTTCAGTGCATCTTTTTTTAAGAAGCTTGACTCTATTGTACTGCCCTTTGTGTGGGGTTACAAATCAGCATATCCAAGACCCACCTTCAAAAACCTTCCAAACAGGGTGGTCTGGGACTGCCTGTTTTTAAACACTGCTACTGGGCAGCCAACTCCAGGGCTCTTACCTACTGGAAGTGTGGAAGTGTTAAGGCTGAGGAGAACCCTCTGTGGCTACAGCTGGAAGCTGCTGTGGTTGAAATGTCCTTACTTCCTGCTCTTCTGGTTTCTGACTCCACCCCAGTAACCAAATTAATTCAGCAAAACTTCACCGCGAACTCCTTGCGATTCTAAATCAGATAAAAGTGGCTTGCCGGGTTCCCAGTGTCTCCATGCATGCGCCCATATGTCAAAATCATTCATTCTTGCCTGCCCGGCTGGACGGGGTGTTTGCGGTCTGGAGAGAGAGGGGTATTAGAACATTTTTGGATCTGTACATTAACGGCCAAATAGCATCTTTTGCTCAGCTAAGCAATAAATTCAGTCTTCCAAATTCCCACTTTTTTCGCTACCTCCAAGTCAGACATTATGTCAAGGAGAATTGGCCACATTTCGATTCTACCTCCACTACCCATCCTTTCCTTGAGACCCTCCTGCTCCCTCCAGACTCCAGACAGTTAATATCAAAATGTGTGGGTTCTTTTACTAATTCAGTTTCCTCTGATTTTATTAGGGAAGCTTGGGCCAAAGACTTGAACTCTGAAATATCTGCAGAGCTTTGGGAGGAGGCACTGTCTCGGGTCCATTGTTGCTCTATTAACTCATGTTATAGGTTAATTCAGTACAAGGTGCTGCACAGATTGCATTACTCAAAAACAAAGCTGAATCGTATTTTCTCGTCTGTGTCCCCTGTATGTGATAAGTGTCATATTGCTGAGGGTTCACTAGCGCATCTTTTCTGGTTCTGTCCTAAATTGCACAATTTTTGGTCAACTATATTTGAGCAGTTGTCGAAAGCCTACTCCAGAGTCATTCAGCCTAACCATGACCTGGCCAACCTTGGATGCTCTGCTGAGACTTCTGACCTTCTGCACGACACGCAGGTCGCTCTACACCTAGGGATGGTG